CTGACACAAAGTTACAAATTACCTTTTTTATGCCTTAATAAATGTTTATTTAATTATTTCTCTATACAATAAATGATCATACAAAATTAAGATACATATTATCTTACCTGCAAATAAACATTTAGTTTTCGAAAGGCTTGAAGGATGTCTCAAAAAAATATACCATCTGCTTTATATTGTATAAAAATATGTTTTCAAGAAGACCAAAGACATTCTGATACACAATGTGGAATTTAAGCAACAATTATAAATCCTATCTACAAAAAAACAGGAGAATGATGAAAACCATTATTATTATAGTAAAAGCTGGTACCATTGCACTTTCTTGGATTTCTACATACATTTAATAAGCTGTTGCCCACAAGTTTACACTTTCGACTGTTGAATATAACATCTTGTTAGTGGAGACAAAATTCGTATAGATTTGATTTATTTCATTTCAAAACACTTATCTGCAAACACATCGTATCGTACGTCAAAACTTTGCTACATTTTACCTGAAGAAAGAACCCTTATTTAATTAGGAAATCCATACAACTAATGGTAATCTTGTAGTTTAATTTTAAGAAAAATATTACAAATTAAACTATACCTATAAAGAAATATAAAAATAAACTTTATTTTTTTGTACCTGCCAAAATTCTTCATTTTAAATAAGCTTTTCTTCAACTACATATTTTTCAGTCCTTCCTAAATATGTTTTGTAATAGGTAGGTAATAATAGGTGCTTAATTTCATTTCAACAAATAGAACTGGCATACCTATTTTTCTAATTTTTCCATCAAATTGAAAAACCTACTATTTACTTTCTTTTCTGTTATTATAATAGATATACATATAATTTTCTAATCACAGTTACTTATAAAACAATGAATAAAATATCGAATTAAAACTATATTAAACTCAAAATGTAAATTATTTTGTATTTTGTTGGGAGACATTTTACTCAATTTACTGAGAGCTGCGATATGAGACGAAGTAAGGAAAAAATAAAAGTACAACTAAAATACAATAATTATAAATCAAAAACGGAATGAGCACAATTTAGTGTCATCTTTATTCGTTGGTTATCTAAAACTTTGACTTCAATGAATTCATAACAAAGTTTTGAAATGTTTTTCTTGAAATGATACAAGACAAATTCAAATTTACCGCTAAAATGATATCTAGTTACTTTTTTAGTTATTTTTCCCTGTGTAAATAGGACTTTTCAATTCGCTCCTCTTAGTTTAAAAACAGAGTATAGAATGGATGTAAATTATATTTGTTCAGTTGAACGCAATAGCATACTTTTTCGTTTTGTAGTATGTGCGTAGATAAGCTAATATTTATAAGGATGTAGAAAATTAGTAGTTTGTGCAACAAGAGTGGATATGGACAATCCACTCGAAGTGTACAGTATATTTTTTCTACGACTCTAACGAAAATTGAAAAATTGAAAAATTGAAAAATTGAAAAATTGAAAAATTGAAAAATTGAAAAATCGAAAAAATCGAAAAATCTAAAATTGAAAAATCTAAAAAACGATGTGACATTTCACATTTGACTACGTTTAACAACAAGAAAATAAAATCTGTAAATTGTGTTTTATTTTTTAAATAATTGAACGCCCTTATTGAAAACAGCCCAGAAATGTTGAGGGTAAAATTTTGACGTACTCTTTTAAGAATAAAGAATAAAAATGGGTGATTGTCGGGCTAATGAGATGTATTTCATGAAAATTAGTGATATACAAGACCTTAGATCAAATTTAAAGTCTTTAATAATAGGTATAATGGAAGCTTGTCCAGCTAATGAGATGCATTGCATGAAAAATAGTGATTTACAAGACCGATTAGCTTTTTTAGTAAATTTTTCCAAAACCAAGACAAAAAAAAAACTTGAAAATTTTTAATTACCAAATTTTTTTAAAAGATATGTAAGAAATACATCTGTTGTCGTCCAACACTACTATTTTTACTCTATCAGACTTGGTTTTAATAAATTTATCAAAATGAAAAAAGATGTCGCTTTTTTGAAACTGTTTTAAATTTTTTACGTAGGTAGGCTTAAGCGACAATGGGCGCAAATATTTTTACATGAACAGATCTAAGGGATCATATAATTTTACATGGGCATATTTAAAAGGGACCAGATATTTTTAGGTAAATACGCGAAGTAAGGAGCCTAAATATTTCACATGAACAGGCTTAAGAGGTAAAGGGGCCAATTATTATTGGGTAAATTGAAGAACCTCTTTGTCGTTTCTTCTCGTGCATATGCGAACACTATTTTAACACAAACAAAACTAATGACATTTATTGTATTGTAAGCCTGATGATGGCCAGGATGACCGAAACTAGTCCATTTAACTAAATTATAATAAAAGATATCTGATACAGATTTTATTATTTTATTCTCTGAAGGACAAACAAAACAGACTGAGAGATGAAATTGTACACATATCCTTGACTCTTTTCACTTCCAAATCACGTACTCAATACAAATCCTTCATCGCGACCATAAAATAATTGAGCCAGTTTAGCAAACACACCGAAGATCTAACGTTCTATAAAAAAGGAAAAAGACGACAAAATACAAAACTGTAAATTATTTCCTGCTAAAATTACGTCGGGCATGTTGAAAATATTTCAAGCAGTTTAAGTATAAGCCACTCATCTTTCTTTGCTAAATAATCCCAGTTATACCAGTAGAAGTCTCATTTTATATATATTTTTTTTTGTTCAAATAGGTAGGTTGGTCGTATTTTATGCGCTTTTCTTTTAATAGCGACTAGCGGAATTTAGGTGAGTGTCGAGTTGATATATTGAGACTTACTGTCGTCAAATTAATATGCTGTTGAACCGCTAGAGGTAATTTATTGGTGTTGGATTATGATAAACGTTTAAATATGTGGTTTATTTCTATAAAAATCAACATGAGTTAGTTATAAGTACGTTTTGTTAACTAATAATCTTCAAATTATTAATAACCTAAACTTCAAAATTCAGAAGGTTAGAAGATAACAAACTTGATAGGACTAAGATTTTAGATCTTAGATTACTGCCTTTGTAAGCAGACCATACTCATGACAATGGTAAGGGTGGATATATAGAACAAGTCTGGTGACAGGTTACAAGAAATTAACTGAGCCTCTGGAGACATATTCTAAGAAGCCTAAGAAACGCTAAAAAAACCATTTCATGCTTGTGGATAATAAGGGATGTTGAATTGGGATATTACAAGAAATTGGTAAGTCGATGAAGCATCTGGAGATATTGGAGGAATAATGGATGATGCAGGTTGCAAAAGGAGGACCTTAAGATAGACTACAAGAAATATGTGACTCTTGACATGCTTGTCAATAAAGAAACAGCTTTGGGGAGTAAAGGGAGGTAATAATAATGTATTTTGAATTGATTTGGGAATATTAATTAAATTTCACTTTCATTATATTTTCACGTTTACGGCGTACCGTATAACTCGAAAACTGTTGAACGAATAAAGGATCTTAAAAATTTGTATTAGTATAATTATAAATTATCATCCTACACGACGTCAAAAGGAAGGGGCTGAGATGGGATGAGAATATGTATGTACCGACGAAAGTCGGAATCTGATTGACTACAAATTTGCGAATTCAGACTTCAAAGCAAATGTGTCTTGTTAGCTCAATTATTGACATAGTACTAACGGCTCAAGTCCGAGGTTCCAGGTTCGACTACCGGCCGATGCACTCATTTTTTCTTTCTTTAATTCTGAACTTTTTTAATTTTTGTTTGGTTTGTTTTCACTTTGGGAATATAAGGGTGTAATTTTCATAATTTCGTATAGGTAATTGGGGATTTTTCATTTTTATAATTTACAAAATTGCATTTAGTTTTCGGATCTCAAACGATTTTTCTCTCTTCATTATTCTTTCATCAAATTTATTTGTTTTATCAATTATGTATGCGAAACTTTAGAAAATAAATAATATTTAGATACGTTGTACACAGATTTTCAAAAAGCATTTGACAAACTTGATCGAAAACAGATATACAGTGTGTCCAATTAAGTCGGAAGCGTATGGGAAACTTTTTTAATCTTGATTTTATGAAAAAAAGTCATTCCTTATAAAAAGTTCTGCATGGTCTAAAATTTGAAATACAATCATCAGATATCAATTTTTTGAGCCTTATAAGAGGTTTGTCAAAAAATATAAAGTACCTTTATTTTTAACAAATCTCGTACACGACTGATAAAATTTGATATCCAATGGTTGTATTTTAGGTTTTAGACCATGTCCGACGTTTTATGAAGAATAACTTGTTTTCCTAATAATAATAAAAATAGTTTTTCATATCGTTACCCTAATTAGCAAACCTCGTAACTACAAAACACCTAACTTTTCAGACGCTTAAAAACATGTTTATAATTTTATGTACGTTCAAAAAATCTTTAAAAATAAGACAAATTAAATATGAGAAACTTTTTTATTATTAATATAAGAAAAAAAGTTATTCTTCTTAAAAAGTCGAGCATGGTCTAAAACCAATACAACCAACAAATATCAAAAATTTACTTTTTGGGTATAGCTCCAGTACTTCTGGCTTCTAATGTGTCCACTCTTTCATTGACTCGTTCAAGAGTTTTCATGATACTCTGTATAAGTTGTTATGTAGTTAAATATGTCGATGATGAAGCAGATGAGAGTACTACTAGTACATTTTGGGCTATTTGCGAAAAAGAGGCCCTAGATCTGACTGGGTTTGGATCAATCGCTTTTGATTGGGTATTAGGTTTCTTGGCTTTTGAGACAATATATCTTCTTTTTTGTAGCTTTTTAGCAATAGAACATCCTCTGTAATTTGAAGGATGAGCTTCTGAGCAGTTGATACATTTTGCAGGAGTATTCCTAGGCTTTGTACATTCAGCTGTCTTAACACAGGCAGGTGGTCTGGTGCAGAATCTCTGTGTGTGTCTATGTCTCATACCGCATTTTTTACACTTTGGTATGAATTTATTATTTCTTATTGCCTCTATTTTAACTTTAGATGCTGCATATTGTAAATTTTGTTAATATCCTCGGTATGATTAAATACTAGCATACATAATGTCAGACTAATATATTCAATTTTATTATTGAGTGTGGTTCTCTTAAGTTTCTGAATTACTTCCTTAATCTTGAAATCACTTTCCTTTAATTCTTCGGCGATATATTTTGCAGAAGTTGTCGGGTACAAATTTCTTACCATTACTTTAATGGATCTGGTAGCTCTGTTCTCGTCTCTGTTCCATTTGAAGTTATTCCCATTTATTAGAGCTGTTAATTTTCTATATTCTTTATCAGAACTGACATTAATTTTAATCTGTTGCTTATTCATCATACTTGTCTTATATACAAAATTTCCAGATTTTAATTTCTTATTGACTACATTATAGTCTTTTACATTGCTTAAAATGACCGATGGTGGTTTAAGGGGGGGGGGGGGAGTTAAAAATCTGTTTATTTAAAATACTGGTACATTAAAGTATAACATTCAAAGAATATTGTGTCAAACTTTCATGTAGAAATATTAAAAAATACGGAAATAGTAGCAATTATTCGGAAGCGTCTCGGAAAAAAGTAGAATTGCGGTGCCCCTCCTAACTCGGTGCTGGATCATCAGAAATAAAAAAAATCAAAGTTCTCTCGTTAGATAATCGTTTTCCTCAGGTAACACTGGGAGGGTTTTTCGAAATTTCAATTTTTCACTTTTTGGAACTTTTGAAGTAAAAAACGCGATTCTTGCGAAAAAAATAAGCTAATTTGTTATTATAAAATAAAAAAATATTAACAAATTTACGTTACCTCGTAAATTATGTACAGAAATAGCGTTCAAAATTTCAAAAGGATAGGTGCTGTAGTTTTGAAGTTATGAAGGGCACCGACTTTGGAAACATGAGTTGTGGGAAAAACGCTTTAAAGTTTTGGACACTAAAAAATTTGGAATAAAACGTTCATAAGCGAATTTTATCGGTTTATCTCACACAGAATCATCGATGCCAGGTCCATAAAGGATGTTGCTGTCATTCATGATGTCTAAAACATCTTTTTACTCCTCTCTACGACAAATCCTCATTCACGAGCGCTTGATCCACTACTAATTCCTATGTCTTGCATGTAGGTAAAGCAAAAGAACATGCCAGGCCAATGCTACACTAAATTATATAGAGTACATATATAAACACGTTTGTACTTGTGTTAAAATTTCTATAAAGAAAGGTAGGAGGTAAGGTTAGGGATCATATACATAGTGAGCGAAACAGCTGCCAGGCAAGGGCGGCTCCGAGACGAATTTTCGGTGGGGGCCATTGCCTTTAGCCATTCTCTTTTTAGCATATTTTTTTGAATAAAAGACTCATAAATCTTAAGAATTTTTATAGCCCCCACAATAGCGCGCTCGGGCCGCGCAGGTATTTTATGATGCGCTGAGTCATGTATGAGGTTACTCAAACCGCTGTATCTTCATTGGTTTTCACACAATATTCTTGAAAGGGTTTCCATTCACAAAATCAAATATATAAAAAATGCAAAAAATTTAAAAACTTTACTCCCCTCTTAATGGCTGTAAGAGTGCTATTTCTCTCTTTTTTAGGACTTTATTTTTTTTTTGGATTAAGTCAGAAGCCAATTCGTATCTCTGGTGACTAATTTTTCTTCATCATCTGAATTGAGTGGACTAAAATTTTAGTTTCTTTTTGTGTGTTTTCTTTCTTCTTTAAATGTTTTGCTCCTGCAATGTTTCATTTTGTTCTCTTAGTAGTTTTATCTCATTCAAAGCTTACTGCAGTTGACATTGTAAATTTGAGAAAGTCTCATCGGTGTTCTACTTAGCATAAACATATTCAATGCAGAAATATCGCAAATTCAGATTCGCCTTGTTTACACTTTTATTGACGAATTGTTTTTTGATATTTTAAACATTGTTTTTATTTGTATCACTTCGAGTTTACACAATTTAAGGTAATAGCGAAAAGTTTTATGAAATAAATTATTAGTCGGTCACCAAATCTACAGTCCACTTTACAAACGCAGCAACTGGACTCTTTCACAGAATGTTTTTCGTAATTGGTTTTTAATATTTTAAACATTGTTTTTATTTGTATCACTTCGAGTTTACACAATTTAAGGTAATGGCCAAAAATTTTATGAAATTAATTATTAGTCGGTCACCAAATCTACAGTCCACTTTTTCGTAATATTCTTCTACAGCAAATTAATAATATCACATTTTAGTATTAGTTTTTTACCTCTATTGTTAAATGTTATATACATGCGTTTTTGTTTTCTTGTTTCATACTATTTAATATTATTGTTAATACTAGTTTTTAATATTGTTAAGTAATTAGACCGGATGTATATAAATAAATGAATGACAATGTAGTTTCTATTTACATTAATACCTCTTTTGCACAGTACTAAAATAGCTAGTTTGAAATAAAAGTGTGGCTAATTGGGTTCTTTCAATGCCGTAGAACTAATTAACGTAAAATTTATTTGAATTTCTGATAATAAAATCGACATGGATATTAAAAATATTATGTGCATCTAATGTGCAATAAAACATTTTAGTCTCTCAATTTCGTAATAATACGATCGTGCCGCTTTTACGATTCCGTTAATACTTAACGGAAATAAAATCCTAAAAAAAAACAAAATAGAAATTACGGAATGACTGCCAAACAATTAAAATTTTCTGCCAAGTAGCAACAGGCTGTGCGCCTTTGGTCAGCACAGCAGCGATGCCTATAAATATAATGAATTTTAAAATTGACGTTTTAAAAATAAATGTTGACATTCGCTCACTTGCGTTTTTGATTTACGCGACAAGGACATGTATACCGGGTCAAAATCAGATAGGGATTTGTACGGCAGCGTAGAAGGGCCACGTTTTTTAATTTTTTATTTATTTTTAAAATTCCTTGTTCGTACACAGAATTCCCTGTTCAGATACGGAATTCCGTATTCAACACGGAATTCCTTGTTCGAACACGGAAATCTAAAATTCCAACACGGAAATCTAAAATTCCAACACGGAATTCCGTATGAACACGGAATTTTATTTTCGAACTACGAACTATAAATTTAAATGGCAGGTTACTCTTAGATGACTTGGGGATCTTGGGGAGGGATAAGTAAATATTCTCAGATTTTCACTTTTGCCGACTTTTGAAAAGAGGGATGGCGTAAGTAGTACCCTCTTTGGTCCCTGCATAATATTTTTTTTCTTTTAATTTAATTTCCAGGTCATTCTTATTTCTTAGGATCTAGTCCGTGATGCCCATTTCATTTGAATCGGATCAAAATAACGCCCGGATGATAAGAGAGGGGTAAAGTGAGGGTGTGTTTTCTAAATCCAATTATTAGTTATCTCTAAAAGTAAAGAAATGGGGGCAGGTTAAGAATTTTTTTGCTTGTGTTTAAAAAAACTGGTGATTACGTCATATTTCGAAAAATGATGACACGTCATAAAAAACACACTTTTGCCTAAATATGCGCATCTAAAAAACAAAATTCACTTCTGAATGGAAATTGACAAATAATTATATCCGTCGTGTATGAAAACCAAAGGTCAAACGTTTCGGTTAAGATAAAATTGTTCAAGTAGAGTATTTAGAACCAAATTATGAGTATTTTAGGGCATCCGTATTCCCCCCACCCCGAATTTCCCAAGTCCCCCAAGAACATCCTGTGAATATGCCATTAAAAAATATAGCTCGAGTATAAAATTCTGCGTTTGAACTCGGAATTACTAATTTCCGTGTTTTAATACGGAATTCCGTGTACGAAGAGGGGAATCTATAATTCCGTGTTCAAACACGGAAATTCCTTGTTCAAACACGGAATTCTTTGTGTGAACACGGAAATTCCAGGTCCGAACACGGAATGTTAGATTTTCGTGTTCGAACAAGGAATTCCGTGTTCAAACACGGAATTTAAAAAATAATAATAATAAAAAAAAAAAATGTGGCCCTTCTATGCTGCCGTAGATTTGTTTATGTTAATATATTCTTTATTTATAAAGCAATTTCGATCAAATTTGAGACAAACGTATTAGTTATAATTTCGAATTGATACTTATACTTAAACAAAATGGCCGACATCAGGTTTAATCCAAAATGCCATTAAATTTGATTTTTTAATGGGTTACCCTGTATATATTGTTTTTTGCATATAGCTTAAACAGTACCACGCGTGGTTAATGTACTAATATCAATATGGCAGAAACCTTTGTTTTCTTTTAGGCAATGTAAGTTACAACTAATTGTAATATTGTAATTAAAATAGAAGAAAATTTGGCAGATATTCATATAAACTAACCCTTCAAAGTTACATAAAGCCGTTGAAAGAAAAACAAAAGTGGCCATCATCATTGTAACGGATATTATTGCGATATGTACAATCTACTCGAGTTGTACAGTATATTCTTTCTACGACCCACTAACTAGAATCTACAAATTTTAGAAATTATTTTAAGTTATTGAGATAAAATAACTAATTTAAATTTGACTTTTAATAATTTATAAAATAATATAAACTTAAAAAAAAATTGATTTAATTAGTATTTAAGCCTATATTTGAATCCCGGACCTTCCGTATTGGTAACTTAGTACGCGACCATCAACTGTATCGAGGTACTAAACTTTTTAAGTTTTAATAGGACCTTATAATTAAACTGATTTTATATAGTTTTATTAAAATTTATGATTTATTAATAAAATACACGAATGTCTTGTGAACGGGACCTTATTACCTTATTACTAAGCCTCGACTGTCCGTTCGTCTATCAGCTGGCTGAATCTCATGATCCGTAATAGGTAGACAGTTGAAATTTTCACAGAATAATACAAATAAAAATAAATTAACAATTAAAGGAGGAGGGGGGCACTAGAAACGTGTTTTTTGGTTTTTTGCTCTATCTTAATAAAGTATTTAATAAAAAGTAGCTACATAGTATTAAATCTTGTACGATGGGGCGGAACTCTTCATGAACGAAACCGACTCGCACTTTGCCGGTTTTTTGATTATATTTAATTTCAATAATTAAAAAATATACTGGCAATTAGTTTGACAGAATTGCCATTTAAAATTTAAAAAAAATAATAGTATCCTGGTGACCAAATATGGACTGTGATTGATGGATTTCATATTCGTGCAGTGTTCTTATTTAAAATGGATATGAAATATATTCGTTCATTTGAACGCAATGGCCTACTTTTCGTTTTGTAGTCTGTGCGTAGAATAGCTAAAAGGTAATAGTAGATATGATGGCCATATCGTATGAAGATGAAGTGCGATAAGGACAATTCACTCGAGTTGTACAGTAATTTTTTCTACGACCCA